CAGGAATGCAAAGACATGCTGAATACTTTTCTTTATTTAACAACATTTAAACAGTTTTTATGCAAAACTTATGATCAATTGAGAGAGCATAGCATTATATACTCAGCTCCAAATGCTAATTGAAGCGAGCGTGTATCATCAGGTATTGCAGCTTCTCCTAACCAAAATTTCATGGATTATCTGCAGCATAATAATATGAATAGAAATTTCCGTGTCTGTCATCATCAACATACCTAAAAACAGCATGTGTAGTGCATGCATACACTTCCCTGGCGCCTTCTTGATGCAATAAAGCTGCACCTTTTGAAATAGTACCTATAACCAACAAAAACAAAATGGTAAATTGCAAGAACTTCCTAAACTAAGCATAATTAAAAATGAGATAAATAAAGTGATACATTTTGCATCCTGAAGCTAATACACAGAACAGACTTAGTGAAAATTGTATTTACAAACTTAAGACCTAAAATAATACAATCCTGAAAATTTGGTTTTTTAATTGTTTTCCCCTTTTAACTCTCTTTTCTTTTTGTTGGTCATGAATTCTGTGGGCCATCGGCCACAAGTAATAGAAAGATCCATTTACCTTTTAAAATTAAGCGCCACTTTTCCATGGGCCATGTCTGTACCATCATAAGCAACATCCATTTACCTTTTCGGATTTAATTCCACCTTTCTTAGTTAACTATGTTCATAATATACTCTCTCGCTAAGAGCTTTACCAACAAAAGAATCACCTTCAAAATATATTACATACTATTCTCTCTTCTATATCGGCCACAGAAAAGATTGAATAATTATTAGTAATCAGTGAAACTAGACAAGAGCGTATATAACTAACCAGCAGTGTCGATCATGTCATCCACCATTACTGCCACTTTTCCCTTCACGTCACCTATCAAATTCATCACCTGCGAGATAGGATTTGATAATGTTTTCACAATCAGGGAGACGTGTTTCATTGTATAATTAAACAAGAAAATTACAAAACAAAGATTATCACAGAAGTGCCCAAGTTAATAGCTATGTTTAGACTGTAAATGTACAAAAGATAATGATTTCCAATGCAGAAAAAGTAGATTTAGCTACATTATATGCCCAATGGCCATCTTTCATTTTCACTTCCCATAAAAATAAAAACGGAAATAAAATGTCAAAAAAAAAAAAAAAAAGAGTTTGTCAAGGAGCTTCTACAATTGATCATTAAAAAAAAAAAAAAAAAACAAAAACAAAAAACCTTGCTGTTGCGTGCTAGTAAATAGGGAGAATTTGTTGATCCAATTTATTGCTACCGATAACTGTTTATTACAGAGAACTTTTGTAACATACTGAAGGATTAGATGTTCCAAACAAGCCCCACTATCACTTCTTCAAATCATAAAATAGAAGTAAAGAATCATCGCATATATCTTCAAGATTACCACATTCATAAGGAGGACAAGTAGGGAGGAAAAGGGGAGAGACTTTTCCACATATTATCACATGCCCAAGTTGTTAATCTGAAAACTGTACCTGGTATCCTTATACTGGTATCCTTATAAAAGCCAACATGAGAATCTTAATCATTATTTGCACAACAAGAAACTACAAAGCTATGAGAACCCAAGGAATCCCATAATGATTCATTGTGAAACTATAAACATTCAACCAACATAAGTAGGTCATGCAGGCAACTGTAATGATAGTGAGCTTGATTTAAGCAGACTATACCTCAGCAACATTATGCCCATGGCGCCTTTTATCCACAATGGCTAGAGGAGCATCAGATAACTTTTTGGCAAAAGCACGTGCTCTAGCAACTCCCCCAACATCAGGTGAGACCACTACCAAATCATCAGAACATATAGTCTTGCTAGCAAGGTAATCGAGTATCACAGGCTGATTGTGCATAAAGAACCAAAAGCCACATCAGTGATCTATCCATTGAGGAAAATGCAACAAACAGCACCATCTTCATACAGACATGCACACATGATTAATTGATTAAGCACTTTGCAGTTCACACACTCTGAAGCAGCGAATACAACTCTTCTTGTTAAGTAGTTACCAATAAGAACAACTTATACAAGGAGAAAACAAAAAATAAAGTGAATAATACAAGACTGGAGGACAAGATGTTCTCCAGAAGAGTAGCAAAATACTAGTAAGAAATCACGTGTCACAATAAACTCCACTCTATCCCTCACAATCAAAGAAAAACGCATCCATTATCTTCGTAAAAAGTCCTACGAAATAACAGATGCCCATCTGTTATTTGGTACACCAAGTAAAACCAAATGTGCTCTCTCATACTACTGGAGTGAGATTTTCGCACATATTTCAAGCCAATTAATTCTCAAAACATTAGAATTATCTTTTGAAAGATCTTGAATAGTTCTACCAAGTATAAACCACAGAGACATATATTGCAAGGAGTCTACAGTATCTAGTTACTAGTTTAGCCGATTAGCAAAAACCAAACGCTGTCACATAGCACCTTTGTCACAGAGCTGTATTACAAAGTTAGCACTCTTGTCAGAGTCGAACACACTCTTCTATGAATATTAAAAAAAAAAGAAAACGAAGTACCATACGTCTGTTTACCTGACCATATACATGATCAACAGGAATATCAAAATAGCCCATGGATTGTCCGGAATGAAGATCACAAGCAAGAACTCGATTTGCACCTGCTTCTGTTATCAAATTTGCAACAAGTTTGGCTGCAATAGATTCACGTCCTTGTGTCTGAAATGATATCATTTGAAGAAAATAAGAAATAATAACTAAGGCTAAACCCTGGCAACAACTTAAAGTCAGTGAAATTTTATATAAAATGAATCTCAGATATTAGTAAACACCTATGGCTATTAGAAAGATCTCTTACTTACTACCTGAAATCTACGAGGTAGATAATCGACCGTAACTGATGAAAATACACCACAAAACGGTTCTTCCATGCTATTATAATTGAACTACTCATAATTTAAATTCTTTGATATTCATATACAGTCACCTTTCTATCAGCCCTGGCATATCCAAAATATGGAATTGCTGCAGTAATATTTTTGGCCGATGCCCTCCGACAAGCGTCTATCATGATCAGAAGCTCCATGAGATTTTCGTTTGCAGGAGGGCATGTGGGTTGTACAAGAAATACATCACACCCCCGGACGCTTTCTTGCAATTGAACATATATCTCTCCATCAGCAAAGCGTTTTATCTTGATCTTTCCAAGTTCTAGACCCATGTAGCATGCAATTTCCTATTGGGAACACAATCATAAATCAGAAGGACATAGTACATGTAATGAACAATTAAAATATTATAAAATAAAAAAAGAAAAATCAAAACTTATCAGCAAAGGAATTGTAGTAGGAAACACACATATTATATCCCCTTTTCCCTTACTTTACTTTCTCACACAGACGATGACGATTAAAGCAATCAATTTTGCATCAAGTTAACCGATCTTAACCAAGTTCCTATTTTTCATCATCTTCTTCTGCTTCTGCTTCTTCTTCTTCTTGTTTTTTTTTTCTTTGTTTTTGTTTTTTTGTTTTTTTGTTTTTTTGTAAGAAAGCATAATGGCTTTAATTGCAGTAATAAGAGAATATATATATATATATATATAAATATATATATGTATATGTACATGTATATATACAAGGATAAAGAGGATAAGCATTCCAGTCTCCCAGACAAGAAACAGCGTACAGAAATACCACAACACATTAGCATCTAGGAGCTTTTTGAGATTCTGAAAAACAGAGGAAATTACATAACTACTTAAAACAACTACTTAAAAATTTAATCTTCCCACTTCGCAGTACTTATCTAATTATCGAAACAAAATAGATGCATTGAACTGAGCAAATTATATCCAAGAAACCTCGAAATTTCAAAAAAAAAAAAAAAGAATCCTTGCATTCTGAAATTCACCTGCGAAAGGGCAGGATTGGCGGTGCCAGAGAAGATTCGGAGCCTGGTGTCGTTCTTGTTAACAACATTCTCCAAATTCGTTCTAGGCGCCAAAATGTTCGGCAGCGTCGCCTCGCCGCCGCCGAGAAGCGGCTTTCCGTTCACGTACTTCAAAGGCTCCACCATATCACACCTCTAAAAACCGGGAAAACAAACGAAATTGAATATCAAAAACCTCAAAATTTCACAATCAAAGGAACCATCAGCAGAATAAAGAAGAATCGAAGAAGATAATGAGGCTTACGACGGTGGTCCGGAATCGAGAAGGGGGAAGGATTGAAGAGCGCGAGCGCAAGAGGTTCGGCGGGAGGAGAGAGGTCCGAGGAGACGGAGAGTGAAGCAGAGACGCCATTTTCGTACAGAGGAAGAAGCTTTCTAAGGAGGTCGAGAGGTTCCTAGGGTTCTTTCTTCTCCAAAGACTAGCAGACCGTTTGGGATATCATTTATCGTCGGACTTCACAAATGGCGGGCAAATGGAAATGCCGGGGTTTGGGTTAAATAAACTTCACCAGTGAAAGTATTTAGACACCGTATTCGAGTTTAGAATTTGAGTTTTGCTACAGTAAAAGACTCTTATAAATAATCACATTTAATTTTTTTGCTACAGTAAAAAACTCTCACATAAAGTCACATCTCAACTCGAATCAGCAAACTAAACAGGCCCTTATAGTTCAAACGGTTTTGGGCTTTTCTCGGTCTCCACTCTGATCTCTGAAGTGTGAAGACGCACCTTAGACAAGGTGAACTCGGTTCGGTCCGTTTGATTCGCACCGTTAGTCCAAGAAACTGATGGTTCGGTTTTCGCACTCAAGAATTTAGGTGCATTTGGAATTGATTTTAAAATAATTTTATTTTTAATAAAAATAAAAATAAAATTATTTTGAAATTGTATTTAAAATTATGTTTAATTAATTTTTTAAGAGATTATTTTGAATATAATAAAAAAATAAAATTATATTTATTAGATAATATATTAAAATATTATTAATAAGTACTAAAAAATGAAAACAACTTTTAACTCGTAAAAATTATTCTTACTATTTTTGTTTTCATTTTTATTTTTAAAATATTTATTAAACAAACGTCGTTTTATTTTCATTTTTATTTTTTACTTTTTAAAATACATAAAAATTATTTTTTATTTCTCAAAATACATAAAAATCGTTTTAAACAACAATTCTAAACAAACACATATATTTTGTATGTTAGTTTTGTCAACACTAGTGCCGGAACTTCGGGTCGGCGGGTTGCCCAAAGTCTGAATTTTTTCGAGCTCGGGCGGGCAAGCCCATTTCCCGCCCGCCCAAGCTATATTTTTGGGTTCAGGCTCGGGCAGCCCGAATTTGACATGTCCACACTTGCCCGCCGCCGTCTAACCACCGTATACCGCCGTCTGCCGGGATTCTTTTGAATTTTTCTGACCATGCCCGAACTGCCCGAATTGCCTGACCCGAAAAATCAGTGTGCCCGAACCCGCTGCCCGAATTCACTCAAACGGGTATTTTTTTGAATTTTTCCTAAATTTTTCCCGCCTGCCCGAATACCCGAAAACGGCTAGTTTTTTGAATTTTTACCCGAATTCTGCCCGAAAACCCAACTTGCCTGAGTTGCCCGACTACCCAAAATACCCAAAACGGCTAGTTTTTTTGAATTTTGCCCGAAAACCCGAATTGCCCAAGGTTGCCCGACTGCCCAAATTTCAAAAAATAGCCGTTTATCCCTTTTTTTTGAAAAAGAAATCATTTTTTAACCCTAAAATTTCTCTATAAATACCGTCCATCCCCCACACATTTTTCTCACTCAAACTCTCTCAATCCCTCTCAATCTCTCTCAATTTCTCTCAATCTCTCTCAATCTCTCTCAATCTCTCTCAATTTTTCTAAAGCTCTCTTTCTCTCAAATTCATCTTATTTTTTTATAATGGATCCTTTTGGTTATAGTGGTATTCCCGTTGATGCCCAACACAATGTAGAAGAAGGGCAATTTCCCACTAATGAGTTTGTTACGCAGCAATCTACTAATCCAAGCCATGGTGGACGTATTGGAGGTCGTGGTCGCAATAGTGGGAGTGGAGAAGCGGCGGCGAGTGCGACTGCGTCTGCGTCTGCGTCGGCAAGCGTTGCAACCTCCAGGAGGAAATGCAAGCGTACCTCGACAGTTTGGGATCACTTCGACATAATTGACGAGGTGGATAATGAAGGTAACACTAAACATATAGCTCAGTGTAAATATTGTTTATCTAAATTACAAGGCGACACTATTCACGGCACCACACACTTGAGACGACACTCCGAAAAGTGTCTTCAAAAACTTAGCCAATCTAGCAGACTCGAACTCCGCCAAACACAAGTATCTTTTGATCGCACAACCGGTGGTCTAATCACTTGGAAATACGATCCGCAAGTAGATCGTATGGAAGTTGCGTGAATGATAGCTGCTTTAGATCAACCACTTAGTTTTGTAGAGCATCCTAATTGGCAACGATATATTAAGGTTGTACACAATCCTGATGTACAGTTCACTTCAAAAACTACTCTTAGGAAAGATTTATTAAAATTATTTAAAAAAGAAAAAGATGCATTAATAAACCTTTTACGCTCAACTAGCGGGTGCGTTGCGTTAACGGCAGATATTTGGTCTGCCGTTGCCAATAAAGATTATTTAGCTGTAACCGGACATTACTTTAAAGGATTTGATTTAGATAAGAGAATATTATGTTTTAAATGTGTTCTAGGATCACATAGCGCGGATTTAATATATAACACAATTTTAAATGTAATTGATGAATTTAGATTAAGAGATAAAGTAATGGCTATAACATTAGATAATGCTAGTGCCAATACAAAAGTAATTGAATTCTTTGAAAATGATTTAAGTCTATTCGGTGACGGTACTATTTTCCACCAACGTTGTGCATGTCATGTAATCAATTTAATAGTTAAATCCGGTTTAAAAGAAATGGGTAATCACATTAAAAGAATTAGAGATAGTCTTGCATGGATTCAAGGTAGTAACCAAAGACAAGAAGATTGGTTTAGGTTTTTACAAGCATTAAATATACCTCCTAGAGCATTAGCATTAGATATGCCTATAAGATGGAACTCAACATATATTATGCTTCAACAATGCATCCCTTATAAGGATGCTATAACAAACTATATCTGTGCAAAATTAAGAGTAGGACATATAGACGCATTTGATTGGCAAATTGCCGAAGTTTTGTATCAATTTTTAGGTAGGTTTCATGAAGTTACTCTAAAACTTAGTGGAACATACTACCCAACATCACCTTTAGCTTTAGGAGAACTTTTAAGAATTAGTATTTTATTTCACGAATATAGGGAGGACCCAATCTTAGGAGTTCATGTTCATTCTATGGAAAAAAATTGTAAAAATATTGGTCTAAGTTACCTTTGTTATATGGTTTAGGTACAATTTTTGATCCTAGATTAAAATTAGACGGATTAGAAAGTGGTTTAGAAAACTTAGGTGAATTTTTAGGCATCA